ATATTATAATTAGTGCATATTAGAGTTCAAAATTTAAACAAACTTCTTTTTATTTAAAACGATTGAGAAATTGTATAACCCAGCCTTAAACAATATTGGCATTGCCTAAAGGTAATGTTTGTGTTTTAATAGTGTTGTACATAGTACCAAAACAGGAAAAAATGATAACTATTCCGTACGTAAAATGTTCAAATTGTTCAAAATCGTGACTGGGGTGAGGTCAACTGCTTTAACAATATGTTGAAAATTCATAAGACTGGTATATTATAACTCGAGGTTTCATTGGCATCTTATGTTGACATTGCATTTAATTTACTAGGATACGGTTTCAATTCGATTTCTGTGAGGTTCGAGCCGCCGCTTCTCTCCACTGGCCTTTCGATAATTTGTCATCGTCAGTTCCTATCTGGGGTCGGATGCCACCTGCAGTGTGCAATTTACGCCGGACCGCGCATGTGCTCGTGTCCGCAGGCATCATACGTGTTTCCACAGGGTTTCCTCAGGGTTTGTTCTGTTGTTCCGATGTGCTTATAGGTTAACATAGTCGCCATATTCGCTTGTTAGCACAATGAAACCTATTGGATATGATGGTTTGTACATCAAATAGAAGAACAGTTTTCCTCCTGAGCAAGCAAAACAAACCGTGTAAACACAAAGTACAAAATCAACGAGCTGTTGATTGTTCCTGCTCATACAGTGGGCGGTCAAATTATTATGATCTTTTTTTTTGTCTATTCTTTGCTTATGTTTTTTATTGTAACTTAGACGATTATTATATCGATTTACTGTAACTGTTTTGTCTTCTGGTGCCTAGTTTAAGATATTACTACAACCGGAAAGCAATTGGCACTCCTGCTTTAACATTACTTTCAAAATTAATCATTTAGCAGCGGTTTCATGATCGTGTTTTATAGAAAATTTCGGGTACAAATTTTGAGTGAATTTAAATGAAGAGATTGAGTTGTGGCTGTACTGCTATTTTAATGTAGTCAGAGCACATTTTCATTACATATTAACAACGCACACAAATACTGAAAGACATTTTTAGTTTTAACCTCCAAATTTGTAATGGGAAAGACGGCAGACATAACACCCATGAAAAAATTCTGAAATCAAAGCTTTAATTCATTTCTCTTGTTATTCCGAGGGACAGTAGCGTTACTAAATTAGTGCGGTGTTTTACAGTCTGAACAATGCAATGCAAGGATGAAAAGTTTAGTCCGGGCCCCCTAATAAAAGTATATAGCAAACACAAGTAATATTAATACCTTATATAACAAATATATGCCCCCATAGGCCCGTTTTTATCTGGGCCCGCCCCCATTGCGGGCCTTGTGGTTCCGAACGTTAAGCCACTACTGTTCAGAGACAAATACCACAAATTATGCATGTACCTCGGGCCTCAGTAAATAATGTTAAGAAAACATCGAACTTAGAGGTCCCCGAACTTCTGCTTGTAAAGGGGCATATGGAAGAAAGTGAATTACGACACGAAGGGATGATAGACAAATCAGGAATATATGTTTGAAAAACAGAAAGAAGAGCAGTGAAGTCATTACGAAGATTGTTCAAATTCTGACATTCGAATGTCGGAAATAAATATGTGTCGACGGCTTGTAAAAAAGGAATGAAATCCTGTAGGCCAGTCAAGAAGCGAAGACACTCCAGCTATGATATCGAAAAGACTTCAGTGGACAAGAGATCATCGCCGTATAATCGTTTATGATTGGAATAAGATATTAACATATTGATTTTAGTTTTGAGATGCATTATTTAAAATACACTTTTGAAGAGCAGATTTCGTATTTTTTTTTCATAATGTCTACACTTTTTTCCTGCAGGATTACATAGTCTTTTCTGTACTAGTCTGCAGTCAGAAAGGAGAAATATTGCATGGATGCAAATGTGAAAATATAATATAATTTTACCTTAGACAACATATCAAAGATTTCATAGCAACAATGAGCTTATTTAACAAATATATATTTATAAAAATTTGTAGCTTTGTACATCTTCAAATTTCAAATGACCTTTGACAATAAATGAAATAGTGAAAAAGGAAGTGTACGTTTTGTCTAAGGTACATTTCAGTGATACCTGCGCCCAATCAAATATAAAACGCTTGCTCTGTTGCAGCTGGTGGGCGGAGAGTTCGACATGGAGCTCAACTTCGTCATCCAAGATGCTCAAAATATCAAACACATGCTGGAACTGCTGGACCACTGTCCGCCCAACCTTCAGGTGAGTTGCGTGTCAATTATTTACCTTCTCTTCATTAATATTCTTGATGCGCATGTTAATATCTCATTTTACAAATTCCTCAGAAACTTTTCATTTAATTGAGTGCTTACAATGTTATTCAAACATTCATTAAAATTTAATAATGTTGCTTCAATAAATTGGCAGAAACCTTTGAAGATCTTCCTTTCATGTTTCAAAATTCGCTCATTCAAATTTTTGGCAACTTCCTAGTTCTAGTCACTCACAGCAGTTATTAACATTTCTCTCTTTACATTTGTGTGATTTAATCTGCTCCTCATTTAACGTTCTTTAAAAACGGGTGATACTAGTTTTCTTTTAAATGATCGTTGAATTTTTTTGATTGTAGCTCCAATTATGTATTGGTAGACAAAAGTGTCGAAGGCCGGATTTTGATGCCCTTGTTAGAATGAACAGTTGAAACCATTGAATGTTTCAGAGCTGCAAAAATAAGTTTTCTTGTATTAATTTATATAAAAGTATATAATAATGCTGATATTTGAACCACATTTTGACAAAAGTAAAGCATTGTACATTTACGTAAACTCGATGCACAATATGACTATTTACATTTTATATTTTCTGGATCTTACGGTTTCAGTCTGCCCTGAATACAGATGCTTCTGAATCCACACTCGGTCTCATGTCGGTATTTTTACATCTATTTCAGTGACCTCTCAAGTCGTATATTTTCTCCACTTCTGCAACTTTATAAAAGACCGTGGCTAAAACTCATAATGTGGCATATTCAATATTTCATTTGTGTTCAGTTCTTTGAATTGAAAAGTAATGTAGTGTGTTCAGGCATGTCAGTATTACCTTCTTAAAGAAGGGGCTCATGACCCATGAATTTGGCGCCTAACACGAAGGTCGTCTTAGGATCTAATTTGATATTAACTGCGATATCTCTTCTTCTGACTTTTTCGCCTTTGCTTTACTTTCTCCCATATTCGTATTATAGAGAAGGATGCGTAGGTTGTTGCAAAAAACTGCTGTATTGCAGGTCCCAAAAAAGTGGATAATTCTTACATTTTGTGTACGTTTTGTTTATACAATTCAGCCAATGAGCTCAAATGTGCGAATTTTTTTAAAATACTCAAACGCTATTTTCTAAAAGCAGCTGCATTTTCATTATGAAACTAGAGGAGCGAAAAAGTCTGCGTCATTTTGTAACGCTAGTGGTTTTCTAATTTTCGTTCGTTGGATATCCTGTTAAGTCTTTTTCTTCTAGCCGCTCTTGCGTATTTTACTTCTTTCCTTTCCTCCCTCTACTATCTTTTCCGTGTCCTTGGATTCCGGTCCGGTGCAATATTCAATCTCTACCAAATAAGCGACGAAAGCCTTTACAGGGATATTTGGAGATCCGGGAACTGGCTGGCCGGGCCGAATTGTCTGTTCAGGGGATCGGGAAGGGAGCTTGGGCGCAGTTTAGTGCGGATCCGTTGCCGCTCACACACACACGCACGCACGCGCGCGCGCGCGCGCGGTGCAACCCCACTTTCGGCCGCGGCCATGAAACGGGGGTTACTCGTATTTCCTGCTGCGCGGGCAGAAATCTCCCGGTCAACCCAATTTCCTTCAGCATCCTCGTGTGTTGGCGACGCCCACTGATGCCTCACAGTACCCTGGTTTTGCATGCTCGATAAATAAATAATTTTGTAGTAAAATGTTAGCTGATAAAATGTATGTTTTTTACACTGCTCGTTATTTGCCGTTTTATGCAATACATTGTGAGCTGAAAACGAGTAAGAGTGGAACTAAAATCAAACGCACTCATACCTTAGTTGCTCGTATTTATTGTAAAATATTAATGATACACCCTACGCTTTTATTTGTCACAGGAAACGAATAAATCGTTTAAGATGTCGCTTGCGTGTTATATTAGAACACAGTAGACAGAGAGGACGAAATTAAATAGTACTTAAAAAAGAAGAAATTATTTTGTTAAGATAATCAATGTTTTTGAGATTGTAACATATGAGCTCTGTATCGTGATTTAGTGGAAAGTCGAGCTCTATTTTTGCCCTCAAAAGTATTATTTTATTCTGTGCTCAATCACATATGAAATGTGTCTGATTCCCTCGCAACGGTCCTCTGCACCTCCTGGTGTAATTGCCTCCGCGTCCTTTGCCCCCTGCCTCTTCAATCGACCGCGGGGGGCTCACGGTCCCCCTCCGTGCCGCTCGCCTTCCCAACGCGAGGTAGTAAAGCACCTTGGCTGGGTGGATGCAGGGCGATCTTCGTAATTCAAGCACAGTCGAAAACAAGAGAAAGGGTCAACTAGAGTTCTGAGCCCGCTTTTCCGTTAAAGTTTGACTTACACATGGCATACAGCTCGGGGAATGAAATTATAACTTAAATTAAAGCACAATTTATTTATTAGATTTTATGTTGAACTATTTAGAGGGTTGGTAGATGGCTTGGCCAGAGTCCCTTCCCCATACGCGTATAACAATTGCTCAAACTACCAGGTAAAAGAAGAGGAAAAATCATGGATTGAACATCTGTACGTAGCTAAAATGTTTTTATTTATTAACAGAAATAGCCTTATAAAGTTCAAAAATTGTCTGTTTTCCCCTCGTGGAACATACTGTGAGCCACCCTTACGTCATGTCGAGTCGTCAGCCATTGCCTGAATATGTAGATTATGTAAACAATGTACAATGTAAATGTACAAAATTTATAGAACGTGAGGGTAATTGTTGCGTGGCAACTGAATTCTTCTTATTTGAATGGTGATAGTCCAAGTATGCGTACACTATGGAACATTTAACGTATTTTTATAGGAGTTTAATTGACTATCTGTACTTCATAAAACATGTTATATCAGTGTCTGGATATCTTAAATATTCCATGTAACAGTTTGTACCTACGTTATGCTCGAGATAATTTGGTTTTCTTGCGAGAGAAATAGTGAGCATGTGTCCAGATCACCCACTGTCCGCGCTCTCTTTCTATCATCCCACGTGACCTCTCCAGCTTTCTTCGCCAAGAGGCCATGTTTCTTTCACAGCCCGCTGTATCCCCCTACAGTGCGGCGGTTCCCTGCCAAAAGACTGTAAGTGAAGAACCAAATATTGTGAGAAAAGAAACTTTAATATTTTTCTTTGGCCGCAAGTGTGTATGTACTGGGTTTTTAGAAAGAGATATCACTGAAACTACCACAAATAACTCTGGTTTAAAGGTGCGCCTTTGTGAAATAGTCTATAGTTTTTGAAAATAATGTTGCTTACTGTGTTTTGACATGAATCAGACAAGTGTTCTCAAGTGAATCAAATGGATTTGACAAAGGTTTTATTTGTGGTCATAATGTCAATGCTCCCCGATTTCTGATCATTTCCATCTAACGTTGAAAGAGCCTAAAAAAGTTCATATCCTGCTTCCTGAAATGTTTTTGTCATCGACTCCGCTTGAGATTTAGTAGCACTCTCTGCTACCTCCTCTTTTATTAGGACTTTGAGCGACTCTTCAGATTCTCCGCGATAACCATGTCTGGGCACGCTTTGTGGCGGCGGTGACACGAGCTCTTCCTGAAGAACAGCTGACAGCGCGTTTCCTTTTCACTCGCGTGGAAATGCAACGTTTTCTCCCAGAAGCTCCCGGCCGCCCGGCGGAAGGGCTGTCGGCCGTTCGCCCGCCCCCGCCCTCCGCCCCCGCACAATTCCACCCGAGCTCGGGAGCGCCCCCCTCGAAGCAGCCGGCCACGAAACACATTTTCACCCCGCCAGCAAGCCGGCCCACGGCGCCGCCCCCGCGGCGCTCTCGCCGCCCCGGCCACTCCGCCGCCTCGCCAGACGCTCGCGCCGCGCCAGCTACCTCGCCGTCCGGCCTCGCCACTCCGCCGCCTCGCGCCACGTCGCGCCCTGCGCACGTCCGCCGCCCCCGCGCACCTGCCGCCGCCGAGCGACTCCTCCGGCCGCGCCTCGCGCAACCTCGGCCCGCCTCGGCGCAGCCTCCGCCGCCTGCCACCTCCGCCGCTCGCCAGCCTCCGCCGGTCGTCGCCCCGGCCGCCGCCCTCGCCACTCCGGCCGCCCAGCACCTCGCGCCCGACCTCAGAGCGCCACTGCCACCGTTCCGCGCCCGCCAACCGTCCGCCGCACTGCCTCGGCCCCCGCACCTCCGCCGCGCGCACCTCGCCGCCCGCCACTCCGCGCCCCACCACTCCGCCGCCCCGCCACGCTCCGCCGCCCCGCACCTCCGCCGCCCCGGCAACTCCGCGCCCCCACCTCAGCCGCCACTAGCACCTCCGCCGCCTCAACTCGGCCCCGCCTCCCTCCGCCTTCTCGGCCCCCGCCGCTCCGCGCTCTTGCAACGTCGGTCGCACGGTCATATCTGTCGCCTCCGCACCCCGTGGTCTCGTACCTCCGCCGCCCCGATACCCTTCGCTCCCGCGTCTCGGCCGCTGGCAATCGGCCCCCGCCGTCTCGACGGCCTCCGTTTCCGGTCGCCCCCTGCATCCTGAACAGCTCGCCGCCCCGCCGTCCCCGAAGCGGCTCACGCGCCGCCGGGCTTCCGTGGAGCTTCCGAGATCCGCGGCCAAGGCGCGGCCTCGCGTGCTGTCGAGCCGCAGCCGCCCGCAGATGCTCGGCCCACCCCACTGCCTGGCCTCCTTTCGTCTTCTGTATTATCAGCTCCCTGCCACAAAGCGCGCTTGTTACCTCTCTGCCTGTCACGCCACACACCCGTCTCACGCTGTCCTGTGCTTCGTTATTGTTTCTAAATTCGTGGCGCCTTCTTATTTTCTGATACCTCCGCTCCTGGGGTCACGCGCGCTTCGGCCCCTTAACTGCGTGCGGGGGGGGGGGCGTCTGGGTCGGGCCGTGCGGTGCCGAGGCGCGGCGCCCCTTGAGGCCAGCGCGGCGCTGTCAATCAAGCGCCCTGAGCCTCCGAGCCCGTGCGCCTGAGCCTAATGGAGCCCCCCCACCCCCGCCCACTCTCCCCGCCCGCCCCCCCCCGCCCGCCCGCCCCGCCCCGCCCGCCTC